AAGGCCGCAACTGGTGTATCAGGCGAACCTGATAAAACGCCCCCCTGGTCACGGCCGACAAGTGATCTTCCAATGTCAGCCGTGAATCCAGGAGGACTCCCAAGTTGCGTGCCCTCTCTGAGGGGGCCAAGATTTCGCCCCCTATAGTCAGCGATGGAATCAGCTGACTATGCCGAGGCGCTGGCATCCACAGCCACTCAGTCTTGGAAGAGTTGAGTCTGAGTCTGTTCCTCAGACTCAGACTCAACCCTTGGAGGCTGATGTTAATAATTAACATTTGATGAAGATGTTTGTTGCCTGAAACACAGTATAATCCTGTACATCTTTAAAGGCATTGTTTTCTTCAAGAAGAATATTGGAAGAAAAGGAGCCAAAAACATTGATTGATTGATTGATTGATTTTTTGATAGATAGATAGATAGATAGATAGATAGATAGATAGATAGATAGATAGATAGATAGATAGATCTTCATATTCTGTTATGTTAGTTCATTCTTCAGTCAACAGAAGAGTCTGAAAAGGCTCCTATTTTTAATAAAATTAAAGTTAAGATGTATATATTGTAAATGCATATGTGCAGACATAATATTTTAAATTTCTCTTTCAACTCAGTGAAGGAAGCAATCTGACTCCTGCTCATCATTATCCAGACTTTAGATTTAAGACCTATGCTCCTCTAGCTTTCCGTTACTTCAGAGAACTTTTTGGTATTAAGCCTGATGACTACTTGGTAAGACTTATTCCTTTTTTTCACCCCACAGAGTATAGGGAACCCAAAAGCTCTTTCTGCTTCTGAACCAGTACCCATCAGTTACTTTGATTTGTGATTGGATTGAGCAATGCACCTGACATTATAGTGGAGAGAATTGTTCAGTATTATTTGCTTTGATTCAAACACCAAATTCCACTCATCTGTGTATCTATTTTTAATGGAGAAAGGGTAGCAATAATTCTTTAAATATACTCTATAGCAGACATGTCAAACTTGCGACGTCACGTGACGTCACGCAACATATCAGACCTTTTTCGCCATTGCCAGTAATGGGATGGGCGTGGTTTCCCGATGATGCGTCTGGCCCGCGGGCCGGCAGTTTGACACCCCTGCTCTATAGGAGTACTTTCAGATTGGGTCAGGCAAAGATCCCTACATTATCAAGATGTTTCGAAGTGCATAAATTTAGTTGTTAGTGAACTGTTTCCATTTTCAGCTTTTAATTGCTTGTCCTGAAATTTGATATATTAATTGATAGTTCACCAACTGTGAGCTGTGGCTGTACTCAAGTCATTATTTCTACTAGAAATACTATAATTGAACTTAAATACCCTGTGGGTTTTGCTGATTGAATTTTGGTGAAGAGATATAATTCATTAATTTCCTTATAATTGTCTAACAACGTGTATAAATACATGCTTCCTTAGGGAAACATAACCTTTATATAGAAAATTAAGCAACTTATAGAATGTTCTTTCAAACATGCACAGAGCAAAATGTAACACAGATCAAAGAACTGCTGCCATAAGATCCCTATTGAATGCTTATTATTCTGAGTAGTTAGAAGAGCTGTAGTATATTTCAGTATTGCTTTGTGCAGTGTGCAACTTTTTCCCTTTTATACTCAATGTGGCACTTAATAAATAGTGTAGCATAAAATTCAAAACCTGTCGAAATGATAAAAAAGATGTTTTCTTATCAGTAAGTTACTGCTGGCAAAACCTCTGACTCTTATCTTTCCCAAGTCATTTCCCCCCTTTTTATATAGTTTTCAATAGAATAAAAATGTAATGCATCATTAAGTAACATAAATATACTTTGTTAAGTGCATTAATAGGTAAAACAAACATATCTATTTGCAGTGTTAAAACATAATTTAATAGGATGTGACAAGCAGGAAAGGCTTTAAAGTGCTGATCTTACATATTCCTCTCTTCCCTTTTGTTCTCCTATGAGAACAATAGAAAGAGCAAAGTTTAATTCACTTTTAGCTGTACCATATGCCAAATTTGTAAGTACATATAGCTGAAGAATTTCATTTTTTAAAAAAAATCTAGACAATGACAAAACTTTCTTCTCGACTTCTTCAGGGTGGTTGGTGATTTATTTTTCATCATGATTCTTGCTAACAAGAAGCCAGAAATCTGCCAAAATAAGATTCCCCTTAACTGAGGTTTTAGTTGTATCAGAGGAATCATTGGACAACCCTGCAATCATCAATGTGTGCTCATTTTTGCTAAAGCACAGTGCAAAAAAAAAAAATTATTCAATCTGGAATAAAAACCAGTGCTTAAGCAACATTGATGGCCGCTATTACCGTATCTGAGCCTGAGCAATTCTTTTGTCAAGGAGATTTTCCCAAACCATAAAATATGCCAGGTGCACCCTTTATACATTGAGTGTAGAGTTTAATTTTTGATGACATCTTTTGACTTCTCATTGTGCTTTCTTTTTAATCTGCCCCTTGAGTTCTTCTTTACTTTTCATAAATGGTGTACACCTGGGGATATGCAATTTATTAAAGAGAGGCAATATTTTGTATAGAAACATTACCTTGTGAGAAGCTGATTTCTTCCTTTCAGGTTTATCAAACATATCAGTTCCTCAGATAAAAGAGATATAATGAAGTTTTCACATCTGAATATTTCAGTGGCCATTCTGGCTGCTGAGAACACGTTTTAAAATATGTTAGGAAGTATTCATAATTAGGAATACTGTTTAATATTCCAAAAATATAAAGCAGCTAAAATCAAGGAAATTGGCAGTCCAGAGAGTGTTCTAAACATGATATACCATTCATTTTTTCTTTTATTTGTTCACATTAACCTATATTCTTTGTGATAAGTTAATCAATTTATTCTTAAGTTATGCATCCCAATTATTTATATTTATTTAATTTCTGTTGAAGTATAATTTATCTTTGTCTTTTACAAAAAGTGCTAATGAGAAAAAATAGGACTAATCGAGGATGTGTTTTGACCTGAGTTTTTACAGTACCAGACACAGAGGATTAAATCTCTGTTTTTAACCACAAATTAACCTCAAAAACATGGACTTAAAACATAACTAAAGATATTTGCCCTGAAAGATATTAGTTAATTCTACTTTGTCATATTGTTAGATTTTTCAGGGCAAAGTATCTAGGTTGATTACTTGATTAACCAGGAGAGTTTTTAGTAGGTCAGCATTGCTTGGATTCTATTGCAGACAAGAGGAATTGTGTAAGACAACATATATCTTCTTGCGACTTTTGTTTGTATATTTCAATAAATTATGCAAAAACGAAATGCCACCTGAGTAGCCTTTTCAGTCAACACCAATAACACTTAGTGTTCTAAAAGTTGTATCAGAAATAGCATATCATGTTGTGAAGAAAACATTATCACTGTTTCTTTTTTTTTTAAAAAAAAAATTAGACCTTACACAGTTGAGTAGTCTGGGTAGTTTCAAGGACCTTGGTACACAAAGGTCTCCTTGGCTTCCTTTCATAAAATACTTAAAAACATATTTCTATATATCCATCCTGCAAAATGGCATTAAATTTCTGTTTGTGTATTCAGTATTCAATTTGCAGTGAACCATTAATAGAATTATCAAATCCTGGTGCCAGTGGATCCTTGTTCTTTGTCACTAGTGATGATGAATTCATAATCAAAACAGTTCAACACAAAGAAGCAGAATTCCTTCAGAAACTCTTGCCTGGCTACTACATGGTAAAGATACTCAAGCCCTTTTTTAATTTGGTTTCTCTGTGTGTATGTGGATATGTTTAACTCCCTTGTTCAACTCTTGCTTGTGTTCTTATGAAAAATGGCCCTTTCTCTCTAAGTTTGTGTTCCTATTATATTGCATGTAATAAATGGGAGAAATTAAAAAATAAATTTGAGGTTAATAGACAAACTTTCCTTAATAAGTGGAATAATTGATCATGATACCGATAGATACCCTAGTTTATCTTGTTTCATTGATAAATCATTTACCTCCAAAGGAGCAAATTATAAGTTTGACTTACTAGTTATAACTTTTATTTTCTCTGTTTCAAAGCTTAACACAGTTTCCTTGGTTATTCAGTTTTTATGTATGAAAAATCTTTTTACTAGCCAAAAATTGATTGCAATATTGTATTTACTGCAGATTGGTAACTGGTCTGTGAGAACCTATGCAAAATTTGCTTAATGGCTCTCTTAGATATAGATAAATATACAAGGGCAATTCAGAAATAAACCTCCATTTGGTTATCAATGAGAGACACAGATACAGAACTTTTATTATACACATTAGAAAACTACAACGTTACATTGCTTTTCGACATAATCATTCAAATTGAGGCACTTGTCACAACGTCTTACAAGGTTTGAAATTCCTTAGTAGTAGTCTCTTAGCACCAAATCTGGGGTGATCAAAACATCCCAACGGAACTGCTTCAAAAGTTCTTGGGTGCGTCTAGCGGTGTGCGGGCAAGCATTATCATGAACCAACACCACACCGGAAGTCAGCATGCCCTGACGCTTGTTATGGATGGCTCGTATGAATTTTCGTAACGTTTCACAGTAGATTTCTGAATTGATGGTCGAATCACGCTCCATGAACTTCGCTAGCAGTACTCCTTTGGCATCTTCACATTTGGTGGGGTTTTCTATTGTGCCACTTCCGGTGTGATATTGGTGTTGGTGCCAAGCGACTACTACTAAGAAATTTCAAACCTTGTAAGATGCTCTGACAAATGCCTCAATTTGAATGGCGATTATGTCAAAAAGTAATGTAATGTTGTAATTTTCTAATGTGTGTAATAAAAGTTCAGTATCTGTGAGTGTCTGTCATTGATAACCAAACAGAGGTTTATTTCTGAATTGCCCTCATAACATAAACAGCTATATTGTATTACTTTCCATTCTTGTTAACTGAATTTGCCTTTAAATCAGGATTTGAAGCTAACAAGAGGAAAATATGATTATTTTTCATTCTAATTAATATCACTGCTCAAGTAATACTTAGCTACAGTCCAATAGTCTACATCAGGGCAGATTCCAAGAAGGAGGAGGAAACACATGTTGTTTACTCCAGATGTTAGTTCTCAAGCTTTTAAGCATGTTGTTGTTCTTGCAGGTCCTTTCCAGGCAGGCTTACGAATTTGATACAAAACTTTGGAGTCTTTTTTTTATTATTCAAAGGTGGAGTAATGTGCTTGAGGGCAGAAGACTCCTGTGTAAAACTGATTTCTCTGCTCACTCTGTGGAGAGAGAGATAAATATAAAGGAAGGGAGGAGAGGTATAAGAAGAAAATCATGAGTGTGGAAACGGATTTGTAGGACTAGACAGGAAGGGAAAAAGAAGATGAACTGTGATTATTATCTTAGGAGGTTGCTTGCAGAAGGAGTGCCAGAAGCAATTTACATTCAGTGTTTTGCAAGCTGTAGTATTTTAAAAAGCAGTTTAAAAGAAGCCAATTTAGGGCAAGGAACTTCCTGTTTTTTTTTCTCCCCACTTTGATTGAATGAGAGTGACTGTTTTCAGAATGAAGCCCAGATTTTATGAATTAAATGGTTTTAAACTTTATTGAGGGAGATTTTTTTAACTTAGTCCCGATGAAGTGGTTTCATCTTGTAAAGTTATAAGGATCTGTTATTGTTTGAATTAGTACAAAGATTAGAATTAAATTATTAAATGGTATCTTTATTTCTACTCCAACCCTTATACAAAATTAATCATTAATTTTATTTGAATAGGTTGCATAAATTTAATTTTTAATTTTAGTACGCCTGGTATTGCAAAGTTTGAGAAATCTGCCTTAGTCCGAAGAGTTCAACCAGCTGACTAAAGTTTAGAATGTTTGAGTTAGCACATGGACGCTTTTTAGTGGTGGGTCCAAAAATGATTTGTTGAAAGAAAAACAATTTGCCTATCTATATTTACTTTTGTGTAGAACTCTGATCTCGGTTATACTTTACAGCAGGAGTGTCCAATCTTGGTAACTTTAAGACCTGTGGGCTACAGCTCCCAAAATTGGCTGGCTGGGGAATTCTGGGAGTTGAAGTCCTCAAGTCTTAAAATTGCCAAGGATGGACGCTGCTGTGTTATAATATTGCAAATGTTCATTGATATATTTTGTGTTTCTTTTTAAGAATCTCAACCAGAACCCAAGGACGCTGTTACCCAAATTTTATGGCCTGTATTGTGTTCAGTCGGGGGGTATTAATATCAGGATAGTTGTGATGAACAATATTCTGCCTCGAGCACTGAAAATGCATTACAACTATGACTTGAAAGGCTCTACATACAAAAGGAGAGCATCCCGAAAAGAACGAGAGAAGTCTAACCCCATATTTAAAGACTTGGATTTCTTGCAAGATTTGCATGAAGGATTATATTTTGACTCCGAAACCTACAGCGCATTGATGAAAACACTACAAAGGGATTGCCGAGTAAGTGAAAAGTTTTGAGTTCAATATCTATAATCAGGCCATAATTCTCTTGTTAACAAGACATTGTACAAACATTGTAAGAAGTTGGATTGTCCTGTGGTTTATAAAACCTATGCCATTATTGAATAGTTTTTTGGTGTCTTCAAAGTAGAATACACCTGGAGTGGCCTTCAAATTAAACTACAATTTACTTACTTTTATTTTATTTTTTTCCTATATTGATGCTTTTTATTATTCCCTAAGACTGTACATCCTTTGTCTTATGCCGCAAATTAGTTCACACCAAATGAAAAGTAAATCCCATTAAATTCAATTATTTATGAGCAAAAAAATGCACTTTTATTTAGTTTTTTGGTATGGATTAAGATCCGTGTACTCAAGGTCTGTTGCCTTTTTTACTTAGCTGTTTGGTTACTCTTTTGAGACCAGATATTTTTACAGACATTATTTGTTACGTTCCATATTATTATTGATTATAATACTACTTCTCGGTCTTGTCAAGACATAAAAATAGTATGTCTTCATTTTTTGTCTTCTTTCCATCCCAGGTTTTTACAGTAGAAATGTCCTATTTCTTTCATCTGTCAGTCTCTTATTTCTTTTGAATCTTCTCATATCCTGCCACACAATTCTTTGCCCCATACATAATGTCCTATTATATTCTCTTGTGCCTTAAGGCATTTATTTCCATTTTGCTGCATTCCTGTTTTTTTTTCAGAAGCAAAATTATTTCTGTTTTAAATTTTGAGTACACAATGGAAAATTAAAAGTTATATTAGTACTTGAAACACAAGTATTAATCTTGTTATAAATTAGCTTATTAGCTTATATAGATTCTATATAGTATTCAAGTTTTGCAGATGTATGGATGTATATACTTATTAATAAGTTTATCTATTTAAAAAATTGGGAGTAATTTCAAATAAAATGCTTTAAGATCTTAACAAATAGAATAAATCAAACATAAAATGCATATTATTTAAGAAAATTGAGGGGAAATTATTTTTGTTTAACAAAAAAAGATTGAAGCAAGTCTGTTGGTGTACAATGTAGCCCAGTCCCAGCCACAGTTAAAAGTAGATTTTTTTTCTTATTTCTGAGGTGGGATTATGAAAAAAAGGTATTGACATACTGTTTAATTGTTTTTGGAAGATATATAGGCATAATTTTATTTATACAATAAATTGTTTGTATAAAGATCTATGAACAAAAAATCTAAAGACAATTATTGTGTACATGTTTCTATTGAACTTTTCACAGAAAATGGCAGTGTTTTTTTTCATAAAAAATCTAGATGCTTAAATACTCTCTTGCTTTTACAAATTTAGATTAATCAATACATTAATAGGCATGAAATTTACTTACATTTTACATTTTTTTCCTGTGGAAGAGACAGAACCTTAAAAGTCTGCAAAATACTTGGGCAAAGTGTATCTCTGACTTGCCAAACAAAAAGCAAATTTAGCTTCACTTATTACATTCTTTACAAAGAAAACACTTTCCTTGGAATTAACATGAAGCCCATCACAACATTAATTATGGATGTGTGTGTACCCATGTATTTGTGGTTGTGTTGAAAATAGAAACTTGCTTATGAACATTAGTACTTCAGAGAAATATGGATGTGTGTGTAACAGGTATTGGATTTTAGATTCAGTTATGAATGCTTGCAGATACCTAAAATTAATCTGGAGTAATGTGGAGTAATTTATGGAAGTGATGATGATTCACAAAGATGATTGCACTCTTGAATGCCCATGGCAAACTTTTTGCATTTGTGATAAAATAAAACATGATGGCAGCCTCTTGGAGCTGAAAGAATTTAATATGGTTCTACTGGTTAAAAACTGTCTGAGAAAATAATGTGTTTGAAATGCAGTTATAGAGGCAAAGAGGCACCACTTCTAGCAAAGTCCCATGCTTATTAGCACACTGTAGTATTGTGTCAAGTCTTATTAGTGAGCATGAAGTCACCTTTTGTTCGGAAATCGAGCGTGAAGTTGATGATCTAATAATCAGCTGCAAGCTCATCAGATGTTCTTCCTAACAAAGGACATTGTTTGTCACTGTAGTTTCTGGAAAGAAATATTCCATGAACTCAGGCAATTAGTGATTATGTGGAATGCATAGGAGTGTCTATTCTGGGAAGACATATATCAATACTCTCTTATAAAGGTCAAAAGGCTAATTGCAGTATAAAAATTATGCTTAATTTTTAAAATATTTAAAAAGTCCCTTATGCTAAAAATAAACTATTTTAAATGATGTAAAAATGTGGATTAAATTCCTAAAATATATTCATTTTAAAAGGTTGCATATTGAAAAAAATATATTTTAAAGCCACCCAGTGTCTGTTGAATTGAAGTAGGATATAAATTATGTGATGAACTCTTATTCAAAATGTATTTTCTGTTTTCACTATTTGAATATTTTTGAGTCATTCTTCTTTTAATTCTTAAGATGTTAGGAGGACAAGCAAGTCTAATGTTTTCAAATATAGGAGTTGTGTTTTAGTATATAAGTGATCTTGAAGAGCAGGGGTGTCAAACTGCTGGCCCGCAGGCCAGTTTCATCATACCGGAGCCGCGCCCACCCCATTGCCAGCAATGGCAAAAAAGCTCCGATACGTCGCGTGACGTCACCTGACGTCACAAGTTTGATATGTTTGTTGAAGAGTATCTATAAACTTCAGCTGGTGCAAAACACAGTGGCATGAGCAAGATATGTATGCATTACACCTCTGCTTCGTGACCTGCACTAGTTACCAGTTTGTTTCCTGATCCAATTCAAGGTGTTGGTGTTGATCTTTAAAGCCCTTCATGGCAGGAAATCAGGTTATTTGAGGGACTGCCTCATCTCAGTTTTATTTACCTGTCCTATCAGATCCGGCAGAGATCAGATCAGATCCAGTATTATAGGTTCTGTCACCTAGGAAGCTACATTTCTGCCCTGTTGTTCCCATTCATTGTTGGACTTTTAAAAGTCCTTTAAGACTTGGTTATTCCAGCGGAACTAATGATCTGGTTGTGCTATTTTTAACATCCCTTTTTTCTATTATTCTTTGTTTTAGCTTGGTTTTTATAGTTTTAATGTATTTATTAATTGCTTTTAGCTTTGTTGTATGCTGCCTAAAGTTGCTTGTTTGTGAGATATAAAATGGTTTAATAAATAATAATAAAATAAATGGATTTAAGTGCATTGAGTTAATTTAGATGCCCATGCTATTTTACAATACCTGACAGGATTGTATCCTAAAATGTAGGGTGTAAATCATTGTGCTACTAGTAAAATATAAAGAAAATGTATTTTGTTTATTCATTTATTCATTATATAGTGATCCCATAGAGTTCTTAGGTTCCATGTTAGAATTTAAATAGCAATAGATGGATTTCTGGAGATGCTGCCTTAATTTAGAAAGGGGCCCCCAATCCCCAGTCCATGGACCGGCACCAGGCCACCTCAAAGCCCCATCTGTGGGATGCAGGCAGCATGTGAAACCATGCCCCCACTGGGCCACAGAAAAGCCTGTCTTCACAGAATCGATCCCTGGTGCCCAAACTGTTTGGGGCCACTGATTTAGAGGAAGTATTCTCTTTTATTAACAAGGTAATATTTGCAAACTAAGAATCTTGACAAAACTAGTTATCATCATTAGAGATTCATGTTGTTTGGTGAAGGGTCTTTCTAATTTTCGATGACATTTCCTGTTGTTGGTATTTCCAATATTTTATAGGATGACCCTGACCATATATCATTGTATATTTTCTCTTAATGATATTTTCCTATTCGTCTTAATGCTTACCCCATGATCTGTTGAAAATTATCTCTGGACAGTTGGAATTCTTCCCAGTTAGAATGGACTACATAATGACATTCAGAGGGCTGTGGAGAAGGCTTAAAATAAGGTGTTATGTAGCATCATGCAAAAACTGATTTACAGATTAGTCTATAAAAATTACTGGCTTACAAACTTTTTATTTGTAATTCTTAAAATAGGACTGAAGTTGAAGACCACTTAGAAATGACAATTGGCCTAGAACACAGTAGTCCACTGCTGAATTGACTTGTGTTGCCATAATGATGTTACACTACTGTTGCAAGATCTGCATTGGTGGCTTAATGCATTTCAAATTGCTGGCTTTCATTTACAAGCTTTTTAAGACTTGGCATCTAGTGCCTTCAGGACTGTCTTCTCCAACCAGAGTTGACCCATCTAATGCAATATTCGTGAGAGCAGCTTCTGGTTGATGCCCATAGTTTCATAAGATTGCTTTCTAGTAGGAACAGTAATGACCGTACAGGTAGTCCTTGACTTACAATCATTGGTTCAATGACAGTTCAAAGTTATGGTGTCACAGAATGAAGGGACTTACTATTTAACTCCATAATTATGACGTTTTACAGCCCCACAGTCATGTGATCAAAATTTGAGCCTTAGTAGTCAGCCCTCACTTAAGACCATAGGAGTGCTTCAACTACTTCCACCCACCTATCTCCCTATCAGCTATGTCCTTTTTGGTCCCTTGCACTCCTGGCCTCGGCTGTCTCCTTTCTCCTGTTGCTGACCAAGCATGTCTGGCCTGGCCCTTTGCAAGGTAGCTGCTGCTGCAAGAGGCTTTATTCCTCAGGTTATGTGTGGCCATTTCCTCACAAGTCTTAGAGAATACGGCCTCACATCATCTGCAGCTTTCTTGCAAAGGACCAGGCCAGGCACACCTCGTCAGCAGCAGGACCAAGAAGATGGTGAAGGTTTGCGGGCGCGGCGGAGTGCAACATGGTAGGAGCCTCAGAGTGCATGGTGGCGAGGGTGACTGTGTCTAGGACTGGGGTGTTTGTGACTTCCCGGGACAGCAAGAAGCTGGGCTGGACTGGGGCTGGGCTCTGTGGTAAGCTGTAGCTCAGGGGCTTCTTGCAATCTCAGAGCTGCAACACTCCAGTAAACCCCTTTGTGGTGTGGTGCTAGCCTGGCCGTGCACTGGGCGTCACATTGCACTGTGATTCAGGAGCTTCTCGTAGCTTCAGGGCAGCAGTACGCCAAAAAGCTCCTGAGCCACAGTGTACTCTTTCTTTGGCCTTTCCCTGTGCTTGCATGCATGCGTTCTGCACATTCTTTCCTTCATCTCCTTAGCTCGTGGTGCACTGAACCCCCCCCCAACTTACATGTGGCCTGTACCAGACCACCCAGGTCTTCCCGCACTCCCTTGCGACACCTCCACTCCTTACCTGGGACTCCCTTTGCTTCCTGCTTAATGACCCATTCATCAATTGCAGTGGCAATAGGGACTGTTGATGCTAAGTGATGTTGGAGACATGATGTTGGGCTTTACAACCACATTGCTTAGCGACAGAAATTCCCATCCCAATTTTGGTCGGAACCTGAGGACTACCTGTAGCGTTTTGGAATAGCCTCCTTTTGAGGCTAGATTATGCTCCTCTGTTATAACTTTCTGGGAGCTAGTTAACACTAAATCAATCTGATGGGTTTTAGGGAATTAATTGGGATGTTGCCATTGTATGGGTGGTTTTACTTCTATTTTCTAATTTTGTATTGATTTACCGTGGATGTTTTAATTGTTATGTTATATATTTTCTTGTTCCACTAACCACTGACAGTTCTTGTGATACTAGGATATCAGTCTGATAAATGAGTAATAAAAGAACAGATTACTCCCTCTCTGCTGTTGCTCACCATTCTGTGGTGTAATTGATAATCTCTTTCTCTATATATAAAGCCTGAAGAAGTGTGAATGTGTGATCCACCGCTCATATTATTTTTCCCCTCCCCCTTCCTATCAAGTTTCCAAATTTATTCATCTGTCATTCAGAATTTTGGAGTTTTGTTTATGTCTTGTGCTTGAGATACGAAATTATGCGGATTTTAATCTGGAGAATTGGTTTTCAAGTTGGGGAAAAAATAGGCACGGATTAGGATAGACAGGAATGAAATTCCAATTTATAATAATTTATTCAAAATTATTAGTAAATAGCAATCAAGTAATTATTATATGGAGTACAAAGAAAAGTAAAAGATTCCTTTTCAGCCTACATTTTTTTAAACTAGGACTTCCAATATTTGGTCATTTTCTATACTTTAAAATGGGTTATAATAATAGGAAATACATACACCACAAAAACTACTACTTTTATTCTCATGTGTCACCTCTTTCATTCCACTTATATATCATTTTTGATCCCACCCTATGGGAGAATGAGGTCAAATTCTCTTTTCATTAATATTCTAAGTATTAAGGGGAAGAGGAAAAGCAATTATGTCTCAAACCCTGAAGCAATTTTGTATCAGCAGGAAACTCTATATGCAGATTTTTGTTTCATAGTAGATTTAATTGATTATACCAACCCTACCTCTCAAAAGATGTTGAAGAAGAAATAAGATAATGGTTACTTTCCCCCCCCAAAAAAAAATCCAGTTAATAACCAAGCCAAATATTGTGTTATAAAACAAAGTTTTTTCAGACTTTTGAACTTCTGTATTCTGCTTTTGAAATTTAGGGGTGATTAAAAAACAAATTCTGAGAGCTCAAAACATATTGCAAATAACTATCTGAAAAATATTCCATATATTTTTCTCACTTTCATGGCAGAAACATGAAATATCTGTAATCTCCTTAAAGCAAGGGTCTTCAAACTTGGCTCTTTTATGACTTGTGGACTTCAATTCCCAGAATTCCTCAGCCAGTGTGCCTGGCTGAGGAATTGTGGGAGTTGAAGTCCACAAGTCATAAAAGGGCCAAGTTTGAAGACCCCTACCTTAAAGTAATATATTTTACAGTAAAATTGTATTTATTACTGCATTGTATGCTTTATATTGAATTTATTTATTTTAAAGGATTATAAATTTCATCATTTTATGTTAAATAGCATACAGTTTAGAATGGGGCCCTGTTTATTCCACTAGTCACCTGCTTCCAGTTTGACACAGAGCTACTGTGTGTTTGTTCAGTCAGCTGTGTATCTTTCTAATTGTAGTGAAGGCACCCCACATTTTGCCACCTTCACTCTTAGACCTTGTGTGCTATAAGGGTATATAAGAGCAAGAAAGCTGTAGTGGTTTTTTTTTAGACATGAAGAAATCCTATTTATTCTGAGTCTAGGAAAAGAATAGTACTTAAATTTAGATGTGATCATTTTTATTGGGATATCAAATTACAGTAATTAATTCTCTGTTCAATATGTTTCATTTATCTTTCTTGTAAACTCTTCTGCCCTTTGCAACATAACAGATTTCAGTCTAAAACATCTGATCCTAGGTGCTGGAAAGCTTTAAAATCATGGATTATAGTTTGTTGCTTGGCATCCACATCTTGGACAGCTCAGCAAAAGAAAGAGAAGGGGAGTTTTCTCAAAACACCTCTGATCCTAAACGCCCAGGAGGACAAAAAGTTCTTTATTCAACTGCTATGGAATCCATTCAAGGTCCAGGAAAATCAGGGGACTGTGTCATCACAGAAAATACCAATACGTAAGTCTCTCAAAACCAGCCCTTTGAAAACAAAAAGTTACTGGATGTTTTTACATTTTTCTTCTGTTCTGTGTACCACACTGAAAAGTGGGTCAGACCATCCTTCAGTTGACGAACAATAAAAGATAAAGTCAAATGGACTTTTTTAAAAAAAAAAACAAATGTTGCATGTGTACTGCTAAGAAGTATAGTACAGAGCAGATCACTTTAGCCCAGCGGTTCTCAACCTATGGGTCGCGACCCCATTTGGGGGTCGCCAAGCAAGGCTGTCCGCCATTTTTTTCCCCTTTTCCGGCGGGTGCCTTACCTCCCTTGAGCTAGGCCAGCTGGTGGTCGGCCTGCTCTGTCTCTGCCGCTTGCCAGCTACGCCTCGGCCGGCGCAGGGGGCATGCGTGGCGCTCCCGGGCAGGGAAAGTCCTCGACTTACGACCGGTTGGGTAGTCCTCGACTTACAATCGGTTTAGTCCTCGACTTACGACCGGTTAGTCCTCGACTTACCACCGGTTGGGGTTTGCGGCATTAAAAAGGTTGAGAACCACTGCTTTAGCCTGTGACATAATTGCTGGCAAAGTGTCAGGATCCCAGATAATTAGACCATGGGCTCTTAGTTCATCACCACTCCATCCCCGAAAGTGTTGGGCCATAAAGCGATTGATTTATCCATATACTTTATGTATACAAAATCACAGAAATACATCCTTAAATGCCTAGTATTATTAGAGCTTGGCACAGCTGTTTGGAAAAAGAAAATACACCAGGGGAAGGGATAATCTTAATTGACAGACATGGAGAAAAGTAGTAAAACTGAAGATGGGAAGAGACTTCCTTAAATCCATTTTTGACAATCATATAGCCCCTACCGTATGGTGCAAACCTTTTCACTACATACCTTAAGAAGGTCATTTTTAGCTGTTAATATATTTCTATGGTTACTTTAGAAAAGAGGCCTTACAATGACTTGCTATTATTTTGTTGTTTCTGTCAGAATGGGAGGCATTCCAGCTAAAAGCTACAGAGGAGAAAAACTGCTGCTATTTATGGGCATAATTGATATCTTGCAGTCTTACAGGTAAATTTAAAATAATATTCATTGCTTTCTGTGCCAGGATTTAGTTAAAGTGGTATTATTGCCAGGAGAGGGATAATTGTTTATTAAACTTTTTGTGGTATATCGTCATCAGGTTAATAAAGAAGTTGGAGCATTCTTGGAAAGCCCTCGTTTATGATGGAGTAAGTCATTTCAATGGTTTTTAGAATTATGTCAGTTGTTCATGTAAGGTGGAAAACTCCTTTTTTTGCCTCTGTTCTGTTTAGCAATAAGAGCTGCATCTATTTTGTGCATAGAGCTTTGCCATCTCTAAACAACTACATCTAGAACAGACATGTCAAACACAAGGCCCGGGGGCCGGATGCGGCCCGTGACATGGTTTCATGTGGCCCACGAAGCCATTCTGGAAACAGTGAGGGAATGACCCCCGCTGCCTTGGCCCAGACCCTGATCACCCGGGAGCCACAATTTTGGCTCCCGGGAGCCACAATTTTGTGGTGGCCATCTATGCTGAAACGCATTCAGTCTTAGCTCTACAAGGCCATCTGGAAACATCAAGGGACCGGCCCCTGCTGCATTGGCCCCGCCCCCTGGGTGCGCGCTGGGGAGGTGTCACCCTTTGTGAGGAATGAAGAAATGCACCATCGCCTGGAAGTGGCCAGCAAATGGCCCTCGTCTACTTCACATATCCGGCTTGATGGGCTCCGGGGGAGGGGTTTCGGCAGGCTCTTCCAGTGGACCATGCCTTGGCACTTTCCCTGGTCCCACCCCCTTCTGCCAGAGACCCTCAGATCTGTCCCACTCCTGCCCAGGCCCCCACAGGCACCCTTGACACGAACGATGTAGAGCTGGCCATGCCCACCCAGTAGGCCACACCCACTCCAGCCACACCCACCCAGTAGGCCATGCCCACCCTGGCCACACCTACCTGGCCCCCCAAGGACAACCGCAATGCTGATGCGGCCCTCAATGAAATTGAGTTTGACATCCCTGATCTAGAATGTCTTTTTATTTTGGTGTGTCAGAAACTAACAGGAGAAAACAACAACAGAGTTGGAAGGGACCTTGGAGGTCTTCTAGTCCAACCCCCTGCTCAAGCAGGAGACCCTATACCATTTCAGACAAATGGCTGTCCAATCTCTTCTTAAAAACCTCCTGTAATGGAGCACCCACAACTTCTGGAAAAAAGCCACTTTAGTAACTTTCTAGGGTTTACTGAATATTTGTTTGTTTGTTTATGATTTAAGAAAATATACTTCAAATTGCTTTTGTAATTTATTTTTTAAAAATGGCTGCAGTATTCTCTAAGTATTATGCTACTTAATAAATTAATGGTATGCTAAAAATTTGCCAGTGAAAAGTCAACAGTGAAAAGAAAACACTAAATTTTAGTTCATGTTCTGTTGTTCTGTAGATTATAAATCCTCTCCTCTTTTCTTACTGACAAAGGTTTTTTTGTTTCTTTGTAGGATACAGTTTCAGTCCACCGACCAAGTTTTTATGCTGACAGGTTTTTAAAGTTTATGAGTACCAGAGTATTCAAAAAAAATCAGAGTAGGTACCATCATATTATGAACTAACTAAAGCCACTCTTTAACATTATTTTTTTTTCTAGAGGGCCCCCACTTGCGTGATTACTTAATCTCTGAGGTTGGACTGTCAGTATAGAATAAAATACAAGTACTACAGGCTGATGTGGTAAACTGCTGCCATGGCCGTTGGCAAAAAGCCTCTGATGGTGGCTTCTTGGAAACTCCTGTTTGCTTGTTGCAAGATAAAATAGACCTTGGATTAGATGGAGCTTTGTTCTGATTAACGGGGGTTCCTAAATTATATACTTAAGTTCCAGATGATGATGCTTTCTGTTGCTCAAGTTTATAATTTCAAATTTGTAATTGTGTAAGCCTTAGGAGGGCAGTTCTGGATTATTAAACTATTCAGGGCCACTGAAAATTCTTCCATGAATTTTCAAGACTTGGAGAAAACCAGGAGCTAATTAGAGTTGGTCTTCTGGACAGTAGGTAGACAGAGATGTTTCAACAAATAATTGCCCAGCTACTGAACAGATCAAAATAAAACTCAGCCACTTCAGCAGGGGTGCTTATGGGTTGCAAATAAAATTTCCTTTTTGAAAGACCTATGGAACGAAGCTGGATGATGAAAACTGGAACGAAAGGAACCCAAGCTGATGTCATCAACTGAATGATATGTATAAATGTTTTGGGGGAAGTCAATTCACCCTGTGGAACACACTGGAACTCTAGAATTCCTCCAAGTCACTGAAGATACATAATTTTAAGTAGTTGGATTACACACAGTCCCTTATATCTTGATTCTAGTATTTTGCAGCTGTATTTTCTTTAGTACTCTGATTATACCATTTTGAAAGTTTATGGTTAGAGCAATTAATAGTGTGTAAACTTATTGTCAAAGCAAAAATATCCGATGTTAGCATCGTTGACAGAGTTTTGTCTGTTGGAACCATGACACTTATTTACAAATCTTGTAAAAATAGATGCTTATAATAGATATATAGATGCTTATAATATTCAATGTAAGGGATATTATAAAATGTGGAAAACATTCTTGATTGTCTCTGAGATTGTTTACACACTGCACTACATACAAGACACCATAAGAATTATCCTTAAATTCTAATGGATCCCTATGTTACTCCATGATTATTATGTGATGATATGGGCAGATATTATTCTAGTCAGACTGATAACGGAAAATAATCTTGTTCATGCCACATCTCTGTCCAGTCCCTTTAATGGAGGAACATGCTTTTGAACTTAGCCTTTCTTCACTAAGCAGGAGATGAAGGTTGCCTGGGTTAGGGTAGAGGTTGGGCTCAATGTCTTGTCAATATCCCTTAACACTCATTGGGCCACTCTATCCAGAGAAGCTGCACTGGTCAACCTTGTCAACTAGTACAGATTTTTAGATGCAGATAACATTTCCTATTTACACAGGAACAGATGAATCCTTAAATCTCATTATAGAAAAGAATATTGTAGTGCATCACATTAAATTACACACTGAAGTTCTTAACTCATTTTGGCTATCCCAAAAAGTGAACTATGATTGAATTTTACTTTGGATTATACTTTGAATCTGTTTTTTCCCCTACAACATTATGTGCAAAAAAAATTTTTTTTGTCTGTACTGCCATAAAGTTGTTTCTCTTGTCCCAGATACAAAAATTGAACAAATGCTATTCATTGTTATAACTTATACTTAGCCTCTTAGTAACTCCTTGCCATTTAAAAGTTGAGTTCAAGTTTTATTAACCTATAACTAAAAGCTGCTATTTCTCAGATTTATACTGGCACATTCTGTGGATTTTTTCTGAAGACAAATGATTGTGTCATATTTATGATAATGGCAGTTATTTGAGCAATCTGTTCAAGCCTTTTTTGGGACATTCAGGGAAAGGAAGTATTTGCATAATAATGGAAAGTTGGCTATAAAAACAATCTTATGTTTACATTACTTTCATTATCTCCCTTCTAAAACCCCAGTTTTGAAGTCATCTCCTTCCAAGAAACGATGCAATTCTATTGCTGCTCTAAAAGCTACATCACAAGAATATGTGTCAGTAGTTAGCCAAGACTGGAAAGATGAAAAGCATGATTTTCTCACAGAAGGACAAAGTTACTGTAGCCTTGATGAAGAAGGTAATTTTCAGTAGAATAAGATGCTCTAGATTCCAAAGTTAGCATTCTTTGCCAAAAGGAAAAAAGTGATAGTTTTAGAACAGGGGTGCACATTCTGGTATTCCAGAAGAATAATAAACAACGAAACTCACTAATTCCCTACGTATGGACCTACAGACTCCCTTCAAAAGCTGTCAGATTGATTTTAAGACTTCTGAAAAATAATATTAATTGTATTTAATTATATTTGCATTTAATCAAATTACATTAAATTCAGCTTTTAGGCTAGGCTTGCACAGTGCTCTCAAATGAGCCCCTTGCTATGTCAACCAAAACTCAAATGCAATCCTTGACCTGAAATAATTGTACGCTTCTCATTTAAACAAAAGGAAAAAAATGTCTTAAGCTTTTCTGAAGATAATAGATAATAATAGCAGATTACCTAACCCCCTCCCAACTTAATATTCATTAAGACTGAGCGTTATCTTAAATCAAGATCTTTGGTTCAGAGGCAAAATGCAATAAGGGATTTAAAAGAAGGAAGGTACACCCAGCCACAATATTCATCCATAACTTTATAAACCCCTATTTAATGAAGCTGTGGATGATCACACAAACACAGCCTTTCTGTATCTCGTTTGTGTGTTTTCACGGCAAGTAGGCCCTTGATTTTGACATACACTAATTTGACTTTTTTTCCCTCTTTTTTCGTATACAGTATTAGCCTCCCGACATCATCCAGATTTAGTGCCAAGCACAGCATCTCTGTTTGAAGCCGCTTCTTTAGCAACCACAATTTCTTCCTCTTCTCTCTACGTAGATGACTCTTATCAACATGATGGAACTAGGTTTTATTCTAACAGGTAACCTGAATATTCAGTTTTTTACGACACTATGGAAGGATTGATTAAGTTTCTCCTCACCTTGCCAGGATCCCAATCAAATTACAGGTAGTCCTTGATTTACAACCATTTGTTTAGTGCCCATTTGAAGCTACAACAGCACTGAAAAAAGTGACTTATGACAGTTTTTCACATTTATGACCATTGCAGCATCCCCATGGTCACGTGATCAAAATTTGACTGCTTGGCAACTGGCATGTATGTATGATGGCTGCGGTGTCCCAGGATCAAGGGATCACCTTTTACGACCTTGTGAACAGCAAAGCCAAATTCACTTAACAACCATGTTACTACCATAACAACTGCAGTGATTCACTTAACAACTGTGGCAAGAAATGGGGCAAAACTCACTTAGCAACTGTCTTGCTTAGCAACAGAAATTTTGAGCTCAGTTGTGTTCGTAAGTCGAGGACTACCTGTAGCTCTCATACTTCTCTCCTAGCAATCTAGACCTGGAAACAATTAATCCAAAGAATTAGTTTCTCAGAATCTGATTAATAGTTTTTATTAAAGATCTAAGGTTACAACTCAAATGCTCCAGCAAGCACTACTCTTTCAGATGACAAACTTTTAAGCAATCTATGGCTGCAAAACTGATTGTTTGTTTGTGCATTCTAGATGCAAATGAGATGAAGCATGTCTGTTTTGGTAATGTGGTGGAATATATATCTGCTGGTAGTTTTGGTAATAGCTGCTAGATTTTTTATTCTCACACCGGCTTTTTAAACTCTGTAGCACCTCAATCAGTGCAGATGTTGGTCCTCTCTGGGCTATTTGCAACATTATTTAAACTAAGCCCCACAAGTTCAAGGTATTTTTTTCCAAATAAGTGTGCATAATGTTGCAGCCTGTGTTTTATTTTGCGCCCTGTATTGGTTAGTATCAAGTTCCCATTTTTTTTCTCCCCCATCTAGCTGTTGTGCAAAGGGCTTCAGAAATCCCCTAAACTGAAAGTTAAATTTAGCTGCTATTTTCAGAATAGAAAATAATTAAATAAAAAAAAGAATTGGTTGTTTATGTAAATTCTGCTTGGGAACCAAGAACATTTTGCTCCATACTTTTCCTGTTCTATCGTGTGGTTCACTGGTTGAAATGTTTAAACATTTTGGTATTTCTAGAAGTAACTGAAGACTCCGTTATCCATTTTTCCCTCTTTTCAATTTAGCTGAAGGTAATTGGAAAGTTTTGGTGTCTCACGTCAGGGTCATCTTCAGTGACTTGAAACCTATTAAGCTGCTATATATCCCTATTGAGAGATGAGCTAACATCAGTGCCAATCTTTAGCTGCTTTCGTTTAAACTTGTTCTTCTAAATGCAGCAAGAATTTCTGGAAAGCTGCCTTTGAAAAGAAACAATAGTGTTAGTTTTGGATAAGGAAAAGTGGTCCAAATAAATGATATATATTAAACTATATTATTGACTTTAAAGTGAAACTGTCTTATACTACATAATATATTACCAACATAAGATAAACTATATGTAGTTAAACCCTTCTGAAGAGGCTTGGTTTTCTGAAAAAGAGGTCAACTCAAGGCAGCAAACATCATACAAACTTCTGTTTCCTTTCTCAAAGTGGACATCTTGGCTGGTTGTTTTCACAATCAGAATTACTTTTCTTTTGTATAAAGATGATGGTGACATTCTGCCATCTACGGTAGGCAGAAACGTGGAAAAATTATAATAATTCTCATCTGTTGTCTCTGTTAGTTAAAGCTGTCATTTTTAATTAAATAAAAGGAGAAATTAGAAGTGGCATATAGAGAGAGAGGAGTGGTGCAATGGCTCAGTCGGGCTTGTCAGCACCATATGATGAGGTGAGTTCCCATTACTTGCCCCAGCTTCTGACAACCTAGCACTTTAAAAGCTTGCAAATGCGAGTAGATTTGGTGGGAAGATAACAGTGCAGTGGCATGATGTCAAGCTGGCCACATGACCACGGAAACATCTTCGGACAGGGCTGGCTCAACGGGCTAGAAATAGAGATGAGCACTGCCTTCTGAAGACTAGCGGACGACTCCTTTACCTTTTACCTGTATAAAGAGAGAATCCTTTTTTTGTACCACCATGGCTATTCTGACTATGAAAACTAGAAAGTAAATTCATTAGTAGAAGGCAGGAGGTCCTGGCTTGTAATTATTACTGTACTTCCCGTAGCATAAACAGGGTCTCTATAACAGCTACTGTGGGGGTTTCACTGCTGACAGCAAGCTGAGATGACAGTCAATCAAAGTGCCCAGAAAAGATATTCACACATTTGGGAAGGCTAGATGCAACATTTTACCTTTGAGTGGGGCCTTGCTTCAATATCACAGTAGGTGACAGAACCAAGGAAGCTGATTTAATCTGGAAAAATGAAATACTTGGCCTTGTTTATTATTGGAAAAGGAAGCCCATAGGATATTCTGGCTACGTTGGGAAATAAAAAACAGTATTTCCATATTATTGCCAAGATCACCACCTCGGTACCTCCATGTAATCGTAAGAATAATTATTTTGCATTCCAGAAAGTGAAAAGTCCTAACCAAATACCAGTTGAGCTTATCTCTAAGCTTGTTGCCCTGGAATCTTGCTATTTTGTGGGTTCTTACAGAAATGCCTGCATATAGAAGGAATAAATCTATGAATAAGTCATAACCCCACTTCAGCACTCTGTTGCCAAGGTTAAAGATTTGTAAAGTATTTTTTTTATTACAAAAGAACAAAAGTTGGTGTTAGATTTTAATTACCTTCTCCAGGAATTATATAACAGGTTGTTTTTTTAAATATTAGTTTAGTTCTATGTAAAATCTTGGTATAAAATCCCGCATATGTATTTTCTGTGGAATTACTGAAGCAAATCTTCTTAACATTTCTCCGTGTTAACCCCATGTATTATATTAGGAATTCTTTAATGCAATTCTAACTTTCAGGGTGCAAAAATTCCATTTTAATATGCAAAACCTGCCACAGTTATGAATGTGCATCCGATTTGAACAAGATCCAAATATAAAACCACAAAGCCTCAGACATAATTGAATCTTGAAAAAGCAAAGCAAAAGAGCAGTTTCTAAAGTTTCAGATCTATAACAATGATCTGTGTTGCTGTCATCTGGAGTAAAAAGAAGCTACATCCTGAAAATTCCGGATTTGCTTACCCGATTTGAACAAAATCCAAATATAAAACCACAAAGCCTCAGACATAATTGAATCTTGAAAAAGCAAAGCAAAAGAGCCGTTTCTAAAGTTTCAGATCTATAACAGTGATCTGTGTTGCTGTCATCTGGGTAAAAAGAAGCTACATCCTGAAAATTCGGGATTTGCTTACCCCCACAGGCAAATATCTTTGGTGGTCTTTGTTAGGGGAAGAATTGCCCTTCACCCTACATTTCTAGAGGCTCAAGTTTATTTCCCAGCTTTTATGGCTAACTTGAACAGTCCTGTACATACTAGCATCGATTATCACACAGACATTCATGAAGATTCAGAAAGTAGAAAAAGCAAAGCTGTGTCTTGGATCCAAAGTCAAACAAGCCCAAACTTGTACAGTTCCACCCAAAGTGTGTCTTTCTAGCCAAAGTGGGGGATGCAGAATTATTTTCCCCTCCCCCTACACACTCCTAAGGGGATTATAAAGTCAAAGAACTTGATTAGCATTTTATCTACGGAAATAGTTAGTAATGACTGGAGTTTCTTTCACCAAAGAAATTAATTAAATTGAGATAAATGCTGATGCGTTTATTTTTCTCTGGCCCCATGTTGATTTTCACAGTGTGGGAGGGTTCTGCAGTATTCTTAGTGCTTAAAAAGGTTTGATAACACTATTAACTGATAAATAATAGAAATTCTTGCAACTTAACAAATGTTTTATCACTTTCAGTTAAAACCCATAATTTTTAAAATGGGAAATTTTTAGAAATGTTAAATATACAATTATTAAGTTTAAAAAAATGTATAGTGTAATGAATGATCAGATACTTCGAATAAAAGGATAGTTGCTGCAATCAGTTGCTCACTCTAGATAGTTTTTTGTAGATTCTCAAAATTGTCAACAGGGCATCAAGAGAATGCTTATGCTAACTTTTCTGGACCAGTTCTTGATACGAGGAATGCCAAACTAGCAATGTACAGTAGAACACGGGTGTCAAACTCGCCGCATCACGTGATGTGTCGCGATGAGCAACATAGAACATGAGAAGTGTTCTAGCTCTGGAATTCCTATGCATTAATTTACTAAACCAATGTATTTAGATACAGTATATTCCTTAATCAAAGTAGCTGGTATGAGCTGAAAGTAGGTACTTAACAGAAGCAACAGCAACTATATCAAGGCTCTTGCAAGGTATTTTTTTCAAATATTTAAGCCATCAGAAAGATGTTCAAACAGTTTTAGCAGTCTGCAAATCAGAATAGTTCAATGACTTGCCCGTACCACAGAATACAAAACGTAACATAAATTATTAAATAAGCTAGGGTTTTTAAGTGAATTTAGTTATGACACAGATAAAATAACATGAAATTACTCCAAATTGCACAAATCCTGTGGCCTGGAAAAGCAACCCTTTGGACACATTCTGTGAGGATTATTTAACACATTTCTGTCCCATTGCAATCAAACTGATTCTTGATGGTTTCTATGGAATATAAATAGAAAAAAATTAAAATGTCCATGGTTCTACTTAAAACCTATGGAATGTAACTCATGACATCAGCAAAGGCACAGTCAAAAAGAACAAAAATAAAAGTAAAGGATGACGTCATACGTAAGCTCAGGAGAAAGTTCTCTAAAACAAATCTGTTTTCAACCCTTTTTGAAAATCAGGGAAGGGTATAGTTTGATATCTCCTGGGAGGCTGATCCCAGTGTTTATGCTGCCACAAAAAAGCACTGCTTCCTCAGGTCAGCCCCCCCCCTCCCTTCTTGAAAATGTGGGATGAAGTAGCCTCACCTTTGTTGTTCAGGCTAGTATTGCTTGGAGTAGGCAG